AGTTTAGGGGGAGACAACATGTGGGCCTTGGGCTAGTTTCATGTAAACCCATTTCTAATTACAAACCTACTATGCAAGAAATCAATATAAATTGCTGGTATGAATTATCTGTCCCATTCTTGCAACTGTCTACTGACAGAAAACTATCAGAAAAAGAAACAAGGTAGCAAAAGCATGCAGAGCATGCTTCTGGAATTCTTTCCAACTCCTTTGGAAAGGAGAGGAGTTGGTCACAGAAAGCTTCTGAATTTATTTCAGTATGTGTGTTATGTCTGCGTTTCTGTTCTCCTTTAAGTTTACATATTTGTGTCAGACAGAAAATGTGTGTGGCTATAGCCCTTGCTTGTTTCAGCTCTGCTCATCTTATCCCCAACAGATTATACTTGAAGAACAGGGGAAAAAGCCTCCTCCTATTGTAGTAACTAGCACTTTTAACAATGGATGGATGGATGGATGGATGGATGGATGGATGGATGGATGGATGGAAGGAAGGAAGGAAGGAAGGAAGGAAGGAAGGAAGGAAGGAAGGAAGGAAGGAAGGAAGGAAGGAAGGAAGGAAGGAAGGAAGGAAGGAAGGAAGGAAGGAAGGAAGGAAGGAAGGAAGGAAGGAAGGAAGGAAGGAAGGAAGGAAGGAAGGAAGGAAGGAAGGAAGGAAGGAAGGAAGGAAGGAAGGAAGGAAGGAAGGAAGGAAGGAAGGAAGGAAGGAAGGAAGGAAGGAAGGAAGGAAGGAAGGAAGGAAGGAAGGAAGGAAGGAAGGAAGGAAGGAAGGAAGGAAGGAAGGAAGGAAGGAAGGAAACATAAAGCATTAACCTTGAGTAAATAATTTAAGAGTGTCATTATCTTACCTTGTACCACTACTTGGTTGCTGGGTACCAGAATTTGTTGTCCATCAGTAGTCTGTGCATACTGTAAAATAGTGGTACCAGGCTGGGTTGCAGCTGCATTGGTCATGGTTAGAGTCTGCAGGCCCTGGACTCCATCTGTGCCATTGTTTGCTAACTGGATTGCACCTCCCTGGGTGATAGCAACTGGAAACAGGCAAAGGCAGGTGAGCAGTTCAGATATTAAGAATATTGTAAATAGTCTGAAAATAAGGTTGTTTAAAAGATTTACTTTTTTATGTTGTTTCCTATGTGATTATATTGAGATTCTCTGAATATATTTTATTCATCACAGCTGTTAACACAGACACTATCCTGATGCAGCAATTTCAACAACTGATAGATAAATCATTACACAAAGCAATGCTGAAAACTATTTTGTCAATGGCATGTTTTTGTTTCTTAAACCTGTGTTATGGCAGAATGGCCCAAGCATTTTTTTCTCCCCAAAATCATTAAAAGAGGGTGGGCAGGGTTTTTTTTTTGCAATGAATTCCTAATTCTTTGATGGGCAAAATGCATTGACCAGGCACAATCCCTAATTACCAAATATTAATTTTCCTAGTGACATGCAATAAAATTCTATACTAATCTACTTCTGAAGAGACCTACTGATGTAGAAAAGTGTAATTTGCTATATGTATTTTGCAAGATGTGACTTTTTAAAGATTCACAATTTGTTTTCTAACAATTTAATTAATAAATCCAGATAGTAGCATTTAGTAACAATATGCATTGATTGTGTGATTCCTTAGTTTTTTTGATAATGAAAGGTATGTTTAATTAGGGAAAGAAAATTGGTGATAAATTTTTGCTGATTAATGAAAAGTGATAAAAATTAGCAATCTATTTCTGACAACCGAGCTCTGTTCATTCCAATGGTAACAATGGTTTCCTCTTTCTCTTATATATTTTGTCCTTCTTACATCTTTTTATCAGTTTTATCCCGTTGCTCTCATCTGTTGCCTCTGTGTCTCAGTATCTTTTGCTCTTCACATACAATTACTGTTCTTAATTTTTTCTGTACTTATTTCTGTATCCTTTTTCATGAAGTTCCTCAGTCTGCTACGTCTCATTCAGATTGCAACAGGAATACCATTCACACATGGTCCCTCATTCAATGCTTCCAGCATCAGTTCCTCAGTTCCACCACATATACATCAATCCATTCATGCAGACAATACCTGCATGCACAGCATTGCCATATTGATGATGGATATCAGCAACACCAGTCCCTAAAAGAAAATCAGGACCACACTGGGGACCAGAGCAAATAATAATCACAAAACTCTATGTCCTTCATCCACCCTCCCAGCCTCGAACACTGAACATGTAAGGATGATTTCACATGGCAATGCTTCTGTCATGAGATAAACTAGAACATAAATCATGCTTTCATGCAATAGCTATTGTTGAGCAAATATTATATAATATAATCAGACTCAATATGAATTAAATGCATCATTCTTACTGCCTGGAAACTTTTCACTTTAACTGGTGATGTAAATTGGTCCTTACAGCCATGATGGTACGTGAACAGATAAAGAGCATTCTATCCTTTACAGTAAGTAGGGCAGTGAGGAACCTGCTGGGAAGGTGATGGAACAGAACTATGGCCATAGCACTAAGAAGAGCACCAGCAGGCACACCCCACGCTAACTTTCTAAGAGATGTTTAAACTAAAAAAAATTCCTGCATAATAATGCTTAAGCAAGCTTCACTGGTCCTGCTCCCTTGTTGAGGTGTCACTCTTGCATGCTACTGGTTTGTTTAATGACAAATGTTTTGTTTTGCCAACACAGCAAACACTGGGTTTATCCTTCAGTAACAGCAGGACTTTCGTTACACACATTTCTCTTCTGTTCCAATAATCCTTTGGTATGTTGTCATATACTTCATCAGATATGACACAATTTTGAAATCTGAAAGTGGCAAATATGGGGCTCTGAAAATTTTTTAGTACTTTGGGGGGAAATTATAATATGGATACTAAACACTTTTTTATTTTCATTTAAGACTTTATATGCTTTTCCTTTCCTGCTATCATACAAGAAACAGGTCACGTACTGTATTGCCCACTGCTTGTTTGATAAATTGGAGTTGGCACTGTGACAGTAGTAATAGCAGGTGCTGTTGCTTCCTCTTCAGACTTTTCTTCTTCAATTCTTGGCACTCCTGGGGCATCTGAGGACAAATCATTCAATATTTTCCTAAAAAAGAAATAATATTGGAGAATTCTTAACAAATCTTAACCAATGATAATCATACAGTACATGTAACAGAAGACTTGTAGAGACATGAAGGCAATTGTACTTCTGTTCTTGTCAGAATTCAGATACATGCTGCCTCTGAATCAAAGATAATCTATAATATACTTGTCCTTGTCTATGAGTTGTAATAACAATGAAATCTAAAAACATACGTTATGTACTATGAGAAATTAAAAGCTAGTTTCTTTTGTCTGCTCCAAATCAACTGTTCATAACAATTCAGAGTTTTACTGTACTTCTCTCCCCCTTCATCCAGCCTTTTCAATACTTGGATATTTTTTTCTGTACCTCTCACAATTCCATATTACTGCTTTTGAGACAAAGTAATCAGAACGCTGCATTATATCTCAAAAATAATCATACTATAGATTTGTTAGATTCTACTAGATTGTGCTTAAGGATCTCCTTTATAGTCACATAGTAGTAGTAGTAGTACCACCAATAATTAAAAAAAATAAAAATTGCCAAGTCATAGGACTTCATGATTAGAGAAATACTTACTGGACTGGTAATAAGTACTAAGGAAAATGACCTTTAGTAAGCAGGTTAGGAACTAAAAACTGAAGGGAATAAGTATGAAACCAAGATACCAAAGAGAAAATGGCTATGGAGCTACAAGATTTCAGGTGAAAGTGGTAAAAATATGAGTGATAAAGATAGGTAAGACTAATCAGAGTTGCAAGCAAGTAATTAAGGGAGTTAAGAAATTGAGGGCATTTTATACTGTCTAAAAAACTTCAGAATTTGGAATAAGTTCTCTGCCAGATAGATTCTGAAGGTATGCCATTCCTTTGCAATGTCAGGAATAGAACAGCATTTTCCAGCTGCTGATACAAATCTGCTAGCAGAGGGGCCAAAATTGGCATTGTCAAGGACTTGGTGAGAGAACAGCAAGCTTAGACTGAATCCTAAGCTTTTTCAGATCTATCCCTTACTTCCTATGCTAGTTATAAAAGTTAAAATGCCTCAGGGAACTCAATGGAGAATCCATCCAGTTGCTCTCTTCCATAAATCTCCCATTCCACCCATTTCACAGCAATAAATACCTTTGACTGAATTTTATTACAATGAAATAACAAGCAGCATGACTTTATGATTTTATGATTGCGTGCACACAAGAAAGCACAAGGAAAATCTTTGATAACGTAAACCACTGAGAAAGGGCAGCTTGTGCAAAAATTGGAATTTTTTAACAAACAGACTGTGCTTGGAACAATACAGCAAATAACATTGTTAACACTTTACAATTAATCTGACTGGTTGTTCCACACACAAACACCTTGCAGATTCCTAAGCATTCCAAATGGGATACTACTCTACTCTTCCAAATGGGATACTACTCTAAAGAAAGTATCTTACATATTTAATAAATGGAAGAATGAATCTATGCCTTCAAATACGAATGTTACACATTTATTTTATGTCTTCCCCCTCTGCTTGCAAACTACTGATGAAAGTAATCAATCATTCCACCACAGTATTTCCCTCACAAGACCTAGCAGTGTGTATGAAGCTGGATTTCAAAGTCCAATTATAGCTCATATTTGCCAGTAACGATCCATGCGTCAGGTTTGCCTGCTACCAGATTCTAATTATAACATGGAACCCCTAGCAAATCTTTCATGTGCTGACCTGCTGAATGCAGGCATTATGACATTACATTCATACCTGTAGGAAGGTCGCCTAGAAAGAATTTCCCTTCGTTTCTGGGAGTCTGTGACACTGTCCACAGATTCCTGTGAATCTTCACTTTCTGCAATAGTGGAGATCTAGATATAAGAGCACAGTAGTTTTACCATTTTAAACATTATTAACAAGGTACTATTTTAAAATCATAAAATCATCTTCTATATATGAAAGTCTGTAGGTTTAAGAAAACAGCGATCTATCATTTCTGGAGCATGTGAAACACGGAGAACATTTTCAGAAAAATGTAAAGAAATTCCACAAACAGAATTCCACCAACTTTGACATCAGGAATGTTAAAAAAAAAAAAATTTGGTAGTGGATGGAAGATATACCGTATTTTTCCGACTATAAGACGATACTTTTTTCTAAAATCCTTACCCTAAAAATTGAAGGGCGTCTTATTCAAGGAAATCAACCGAGGAGAGAACCCCAAGGTGGCAAAAATGCCCCTAATTTGTTTTT